GTTCAGTTCGCTCAACAACGCACGTATTCTAAATTTCCAAATACTATACTTCTCGCCGTCGAACGGTTTTATATTTCGTTTTAATTTTAAATCCATATTATCATTTTCTTCAATAACGGTTATAATTTGAATTTAAATTAATTTAACAGTGGTAATTATGTAACACTCGCGCACACTGGGCCCATAACCTGTTGAAATTTAGGCAGGGGCTGATAATAAAACACGCAGACATTCAAGTACGATAATTTTATATTATCCTTTTAAAACTTGGAAGTAATACGTCTGGATCCTACCACAGAGTATAACGGAATGAAATTTAAATCGTTAGAGATAGATCGAAGTAAACAACAAGATGGCGGCTTGATTGCGTCATTAAAAACTGTCATTACAAAGATTATTTTTTGCAATCTCAATCAAACAAATCAACAGTACACAATTTTAGCATCACTGTATACATATAATTACTACAACTAAATGTTATATTTTGCAATAGTACATCAGTACATTTGTATATGCAGCGTCAATAATAGGCGAGAGTTAGCAGTAAACTGGTTTATTAAATAAATATAACTATCTACCCGCCACCATACAAATATTCCCGACATCATATTGACCGAGACGGTACATTTCTCCCCCTTAATCTGTCAAACACCAAGCGGTCACCGGTGACCGCGACCTATTGTTCTTTAATTGTGTCTATAAAACCGGTACTCGACGAGTTAGGCTATAAACTTATCCTTTTACACGCTAAGTAACTAAACACTAATACCATCTTAATCTATAGGTTCCTGCCGAGCCCGATTATATGCTCGCAGAGCACGGGCAGACGCACCGGGTGGTGGTGGCGATGTTCTCGACTTCAAGATTGTTTCAGACCCAGTAGTTTGTAGTTTCTCACCAACACCATCCGACGCGTCCTCAAATGTGTTTCCAGACTCCTCACAAACCGAAGGGGTCTCCTGCTCAGATGCTAAATCATTACCCCTAGAAACTATGCTAGTGCGGGATAACGAATGGCGATTCTTGTTGCCTATAGGCATAATTTGGTCAACATGCCTTCGCAAATTGTCTCCGCGCCCTATGTCAACTTTGTACGAGACGGGTCCAGTCTGTTCGACTATGGTACCCGGTACCCATTTTTCCCCTCTCGCGGTATAGTCGCGCGCCAGCACTGCGTCAGCAGGCGCCAGGGTACGCGGCGTTCCGCCCGCCGCGGCTACCTGTCGCTCTTGAGCGGCGCGCACAACAGTCGACACGTCAGGCCGAAGTGCGTCGAGGCGGCCACGGAGCCTACGTCCTTGCAACGCTACTGCAGGAGAAACACCCGTGGTTGAGTGTTGACAGTTTCGGTATTGAAATAAAAATTTATTTAGGGCTGTGGCAACGTCCTCCCCCTCGTACTTAGCGCGTTTGATCGCCTTCTTAACGGTTTTTACCGCATTTTCCGCAGCTCCATTTCCCTGCGGTCTGTAAGGAGCTGAGGTCACGTGCTTTATACAGTTTTTTTGGCAAAACATTTTGAATTCCTGCGAGAAAAATGGAGGACCGTTGTCGGTGACGAGTAGTGACGGTAACCCGAACCGAGAAAAAATACTTCTCATTACTGCGATAGTCGCTTGCGCGTCCGTCTTTCGCATAGCAATGGCTTCGATCCATTTAGAGTTCGCGTCAACCATGATTAAATATCGTGTTCCCCCACAGTCCGCAAAGTCCGCGTGTACGCGCTGCCAGGGATGATGCGGGAACTCCCATGGGTGCAGCGGCGCGTGCGGCGGCGCGTCGCGTACCACGCAGCACGCCGTACACGCACGACACAAGTCCTCTATGTCCTTATCTAAATTGGGCCAGTACACATAACTTCGCGACAAGTTCTTCATTTTATTCATACCCAAATGACCTTCGTGGATTTCATTTAAAACTTGTTTTCGTAATGAAGTGGGAATAATAATCCTATACCTATAGATGAGGCAGCCCAATTCTATAGACAAATCCTGTTTTCTTACAAAATATGGTTTCTCAGTGTCGTTCACCGTCAACGGCCAACCAAAATTTACAAAACCCTTTATCTTACTTAACAATGAATCTTTTTCAGTTTCTCGAGCTACATCCTTAAAACTAATAGGAAAAAAATCCTCTATCAAATTAATATAATTTACTGCATCCACCAAGCGACCCTCCTGAGGCAACGGCAGCCTAGATAATGCATCCGCCGGTCCATTGTCGGCTGAGCGCACGAATTCAATCGTAAAGTCGTATGCGGCCAGGTGTGCCGCCCAGCGCTGTAGCCGACTAGCCGCTGTCTGTGGTATGCCACCCTTATTACCGAATATGTGCGTTAACGGCTGATGGTCCGTGCGTAATATAAACTTTCTGCCAAACAAGTATTGATGATGCTTTATTACACCAAACAATATTGCGAGCGCCTCCTTATCTAGCGGGCTATAATTTTGCTCGGTCGCGTTCAAAGTGCGAGACACACACCTAACTGGGCGCTCACTGCCATCAGAATAGCGGTGTGCCAGCACCGCGCCTAGCCCATACGCACTACTGTCGACCGCAAGCACAAGCGGTCGCCCCTCTTCATAATGTGCTAGTACTCGCTCGCCCAGGAGAGCACGCTTAGCTTCTATAAACGCCTGCTCACAACTGTGACCCCACTGCCAGCGAATATCTTTTTTTAACAATTTATGTAAAGGATATAATAACGTGCTTAAATTACTAATAAACTTTCCATAATAATTCAACATTCCTAAGAAACTTTTTAGCTGTGTTATATTTTCTGGCCTGGGTGCACTGGAAATAGCATCCAGTTTGGCAGGGTCGGGCCGTAACCCTTTTTTATCAATGATAAAACCTAAATATTTAACACTTTCTTGTAAAAAACTACATTTACTTAACTTAACTGTTAAACCTGTGTCACGTAACCTTGCGAGTACCGCTCGTAAATTACTTATGTGCTCTTTATCATTAGTCCCGGTGGTACATATGTCATCTAAAAACACGACACAACCAGGTATACCACGCAAGGTCTCTTCCATTAGTTTTTGGAATTTTTCTGGTATACATGCTAAACCGTATGGCGTACGGCGATAGGCATATGTCCCAAGGTGAGTTGTGATCGCTGTATAAGCTTGTGACTCTTTTGTTAAGAGACACTGTTCATAAGCGTGAGTGAGATCAATTTTGGTAAATTTCTCCCCTCCGCTTAAGTTCGCAAATAACTCCTCAATGCGGGGTAAAGGATAATAATCACGTTTGAGCTTAGGATTGATTGTAATTTTATAATCCCCACATATTCGTATATCTCCATTTTTTTTTACGACCGGAACTATAGGCGTTCCGTAGTCCGAGTAATCGACGCGGTATATGGAGCCGTCGGCCTCCAGTCGCGCCAGCTCGTGCTCGACGCGCGCGCGCAACGCCAGAGGTACGGGCCTCGCTCGGACGTACACAGGTTCTTCGCTAGTCAGTTGTAATTGAATGGTTTGTTTACACGTCCCTAACTTATCTGTAAATACTTCCGGAAATTCCGCGCATAACCGGTTCACAAATTCATCATCGGTTATTTTATATAGATTAATTTGATTTACTTTAAGGGCGCGCAACCAGTCTCTTCCTAATAAAGGACGTGCTCCGTTTTTAATTATATACAGGGGCAAGGAATTCACTTCCACATTTTGTAATCTAACTTTAACTTCAATATAACCAAGTGATACAATTGGTGAACCGGCGTAACTACGTAATATCAAATTATCTGCCTTAATCGTTTTGTGAGCAAATTGGCGGGAATACATTTCTTCATTAATAGCCGAAATGCGGCTACCAGTATCAATTTCGCACTTAGTTTCGAAGTTATCTATGATTACATTAATGAAATACGGTTTATTGTCCTTACGCCTACCCACAATAAAAAATATCGCCACAATCGTCCTCACCACTGATATAGTTTTGCTGAGTTTCACTATTTTTCACAAATTTACACATCACTCGCAAATGACCTCTTTGTTTACACAAATCACAATTATAGTTTACATACCGGCACCTGTCCGCGCGATGCGCCTTACCGCACCGCCAGCATGCCTGCGCCACCGCGCCCAGAGCCGGGCCCCCCGCGCCAGCCGGCTCCGGCGCACCCGCTGCGCCCGCGCTGCGCGCCCCGCGAGCGTGTCCGCGCCCGCGCGCCCCGCGCGTATAGTGCAGGTCTTCACCCGCGTCGCCGCCGGCACCCAAGGTCGTAGTCGGCAGGCCCGTGCTGCCGCTCACCTCCGCGTGCTTTTCTGCGGCCTCCAGAGCTAGTGCTAACTCCACCGCCTCCTTGTATTCTATCTTCCTTTCGGCAAAGATTCTAGAACGCATTGCGTCATTTGCCAAGCCCAAAACAAACTGATCTCTCAGGTTTTCTTCTAGGCTAGAACACTTCTTACATTTGCCAAAGTTGCAAGTCGTTGCTAGATGTTTGAGAGCCTGTAAATACTCAGCCAAGGGCTCGCCAGCACGTTGTCGTCGCAACCGGAACACGTGGCGCTCGGCGATCTCGGATCGCTGCGGTTCCAAGTGATCTGCCACTAATTTCACTAGATCTTCATAAGATTTATTTTCAGGAAAGTCAGGAGAACACAGGTCACACATCAGCGAATACGTAGATTCGCCCACGATTGTTATTAGCATCGGCACTTTTAGGTTGTCTTTCACGTCGTTCAGTAAAATATACTGATTAACCCGCCGTATATATGCCGGCCACTGTTTAGAACTTAAGTTAAACGGTTCTAACTTTCCAATAGGCATCTTAATACTGACACAACTTAAAACGGATAAATTTTAATCCTCGTCGCCAATGCAGCGTCAATAATAGGCGAGAGTTAGCAGTAAACTGGTTTATTAAATAAATATAACTATCTACCCGCCACCATACAAATATTCCCGACATCATATTGACCGAGACGGTACAGTATACACTTAAGATTTGTAACATGTCATGAACAAGTTTCATTTTTTTCCAGCTTTTTCCATCTACTTCTTCTTTCTGGCGAGTTTCTGTTGGATGAGCGTGATGTCATATGATATTTGGTGGACCTTCAGGTAAGGTTATTTCTACTAAAATTCAAATGATGCAACTAACAATGTTCTACGATGTTTTCGAGGTGTCCGGTCGCCAAAACATAATATGCACGTATAGCAAACGTATCGTTACACATCACGTCACGCCTTTTATTCCCGAAGGGGTAGGAAGAGGTGCACATTATGTTACTGTACAATCTTACACTCACTTTTGACTATTTATGTTATGAGTCCCATGTAATAGGGGTTGAGCCTATTGATACGTATCGTTATATCGCAATTTAAAAGGTTTTTGGTTTACCACGGAACCTTGCTGTCCGGTTTCTGCTTAGTAAGCATCCCTTTTTCGGTTTCTACGATAACTAAGGGAAGATTACCAGAAATAAATGCATTATTTTCTGTCACAATTTCTGTTGGTAACAAAATGTCAAAAAATACAGTTGCACGAGTTAAGCCGCAAACCATAATCTATACATTATAATAAAACTGTACAAGTTTAATTCTGTACATTAAAAACTTAAAATAAAAATGATAGTGGGGGGTGTTACTATATCGATCCAAAATATAAATTACATATTTTTCGCCTATCTGTTTGTATGTTTGTACGCGCATCATGTGAAAACTAATGATCCGATCCGAATGCGGTTTTCACATATGTATTTGTCTTTTTTTAACTTAAACGTGTATAATTTAAAGGAAAATACACGTCAACTTAGACACATTTCGCCGGGTGCAGCCGTTGGCAGAAATTACTGATTAATAACCAACTGTATATTATTTCAGAGGTTACGCTAAAGCCCGCCCAATCCATCGTCGTGGAGAACGGTTCAAGTTCATGATGTATTGTCTATACGCGTGGGGACTGCCGTTGGCCATGACTATAGCTTTCGGTGTCCTCAACTCGGTCAACATGTCGCATATGTCGTGGTTCGTGACTCCCCACGTACCCAGTCGTGGCTGCTTCCTTGAAGGTAAGATAATAGTATTATGACAATACAAAACCAAAAGCCACACCTTAAGTGGCCAACATTGGTACAAATACACCGTTTATTTTTTATGTTACGCCTTTTAATTCTCTAAGTGTAGACTAGAGTCGTGCACATACGTTCTATAGACCCACTTATAATGTATAGGAGTTTGCCATAGTCTTCACGCTTAGCATACGCCACATGCACACACAATTCCGGATTCCAAGTGAAAATTGAAAAGTTTTCGAAAAACCGACCCGAACCAATAATAGACTTTGCTCGACTTGAAAATTAAACCACAATACACCTAGTTTGCTAGACAGTCGATCTTGCGACCAGTCGACTACTGAGACAGTTATAAAATAGTAATACAAAGTTCTTGTATAAGCAGTTGTTACTAAATTGTTGCAGGTGGTGAGAAACTGCTGTACCTGTACATGCCAATGCTGATTCTAATTCTTTGCAATTGGATGTTCTACCTCATGACTGCATTCAACATTTGGAGGCTAAGTCGCGGAACTGCTATGCTTGATACAGCCGCAGCTGGTACGCCACAGGCACATCGTACTCACAGGCAAAGGTCAGTGACATCGCGTTCATATGCTGGTTTTATATATCTGCCGTAAGCTTGCAACCCTATCGGTTTTCTATCGGATACATTTCGGTGAGTGTGCGGGGGAATTGCCATAGACTCGATTCCCCTAGTCCTTTCCGTCATCGTACCACAAGACAATCGGCGAAGTGTTCGAAGCTCAATCAAGTCAAATCAATCTTCCTTGTGCATACTGCTAAGGAGTGGAATTCTTTGCCAGAGTCTGATTTCCTGAAGGGTATATGGTAAGTACCTGGGTGTCTACAAGGTGTGAATAAGTTGCGTATGGGACGACGTGCTCCATCGTAGACCGCATCATTGCTTACCACCAGGCGAGATAGTGGTCAATTGTAGGCCCATAAAATATAAAGAAAAATCTGCCATTAATCAGTTTTCAATAGATAAATGTTCTAAGAATATCTTAAATTTATCGTAAAAATTAGTTTAAAATTCAGAAATAAACAATATTATAGCGCTTCTACAACTGTTTATACTACGAACGCTACGCCGTAGCATGCTACACCATACTGTAGTGTGCTACGAAAATATGTGTACTATCCGTAGCGCAGTATGTGTACATTATAAGGCCACCTAAGTTCTTTTAATTTTATATTGTGTAATTATATGCACATGCATGCACCCTAAGCCTTGACCTTTGTCGCGGAGAACCTGACGGGTTACCGGGGCTCCGGCTCGACATGCAGGAGAAGGAACGGGGTGGTTTTTAGTCAGGAAGAGTCTAACACTCCCTCCCGCCTCACCCAGGCGGGAGCAGTCATTCGATGATTTTCCACTTATTATGTGGTAAAGAACATGTCGGAACTTTAAAACGTACAGATGTGTGCTCCATATTCTTTCGGATGTTCAGTAACTGATTTTATATTATTTTCGTTCCAGATTCATGGTATACCTCAAACTGTCAGTAGTGATGGGATTGAATTGGTTATTGGAAATCATCAGTTTCTTGTATCCTGGCTTCAAGATGTGGTATATAACTGATTCGTACAACGTTCTCATAGGTCTGGCCATATTCTTGATATTTGTTTGCAAGAAGAAAATCCTTAAGAAACTGGTAAAACGGTAAGTTTAGTTTAAAAAGTAATATTAAACGAAGGACATATTATATTTTAAAACAACAGTGGTAAAAAATAAATACTAGAAACGATTGTCTCTATATCTGTTACGGAAAAATATAAAAACATGAGGCATGCAGGATATATCATGGTGTTAATACTTTTTGCTTATTACCCAGATACCTTCACATGGAGAAGATGCACTGGAATCCATCTTCCAAGAGTTACACCAGCAGCATATCGGATTCCAATCAAGAAGCAGTTACTTTGCAGAGTAAAATATCTTCCCAACCCAGCGGCATAGCGATACACAATAGGAGTCGAATGGATTAAACTAAGAATGAAACTGTCAAAGTGTAAATGGTTCAAAATACTTCATAAACATGTTGACTTTGCCAAAGTTATATCCTCAATAGATTCAGTGAAAACAACTGACTAAACCCGACTGTCCAGGTGCTGACTGCTGTGTGACTGCTCTAAGAAAACAATACTTAGATATAGTGCACAAAAGTGACGTCACGCGATATTTCAAATCAATACATCGTAGGAAGTATTCGTTTCCGTAAGAAAATAAAAATACGTTATACGTTATACGTATGTTTTTAAATAATCTACTGAGCGGACATTAAAATAAAAATTATTCTTCTACCCTATTCTTTATCATCATAATTATGATAAAAAATATGAAAAATATTCGAATATAAGAATAATATATGGATTTTCAACTTGAAGTATTATGCCATAGTTCTTAAATATAAATACCGGGAATAGAAAAATGCAAGATAATGATTGTGACGTATGAATGAATTTTAAAAGCGTGTGTGTTAGACACATAGATATAATAAAGAAGTACTTTTTTAATATTAGTGTTATGATATCTTATAATTGCTCACTTAACATAGTTGTTTCTTGATACACTTAGACTACTCTCCTATTTTGAGTTTTTAGTATGTAGGTACATTAATTTTGTATCGTGAACCTTTGTCATATTCATAAAACATCAAAACAACTTTTTTATGGTTTTGTTGTGATGTATTCGTGGTGGCTTGGAGGTTAAAGCGCCCGCTCGTCATGCATGAGAGTGCAGGTTCGAAATCTGCCAAGTATCAATGCGATAGTTTCCAAATCATATACAGGAAGAATAAATAATATTTATCTTTTTAACTAGAATTATACATAGCCTACCCCTTCGGGGATGAAAGGCATGCAGTTATGCTATGTCATATAATATAACGTTACAAGTGCGTTGCTGACCTTTTAGAGGATTTAGAGATTAAGGATGGGGGCCATCCCCCTGGGCCTTGAGTAACTATAAACACAATTACACACGGCGCAACATAAGGCAAACGTTGTTTCACGCCAGTATTGTGTAAGGTCGTGATATTACTTCACTAGCATCGAACATAGTAGCATCCAACTACTGTGCTAATTAATTAAAATTTTATTGGTGTTGCCACGTAAATTGTAGTATTTACAATAATTACCTACAAACATTTTAACATTATTTTTCATTGCTTTTTTAAATAAAAACTTTTTATTTAACTTTTAACTATTTTTAACATAATGTAATTTGGATTATTATAAAGTGTACCCAATCTGTTGTGTTGAACACCCAGTAAATGTGAATTGCCAAAAATAGAGAGGCTATGTTAAGTCATTTAAGATATATGTATAAGTAATCAAAATAAAATAAATATTGTCTACGAATGTTATAAGGTTTTAGTGTTAAGCTATAGGAGTTAGTGAATTAAATATTAGGTGCTCCAGAGCGCTGTGTAGAAACGAAAATACTCAATTTGTTCTTTTGTAAATGTATTTAAAAATAATGGTCTACTCGCATAAACACACTGAGAAAAGCTCTACTAGTTTCGCGCTTGTGTGCGGTCATGAGTAAGAGCCCCTCTGTGACTCGAAACTAGTAGAGATTTTCTCGGTACATTTACGTGAGTAAATTCTTATTTTTGTAAATCTATTTTAGATGATTTCAAAATAGGGTAATATAAAAAAATATACAGTAATATTACCTTATACAGTAGTGAATGAGACAGAACAGAAAAATACTTCATTATGTTTCTATTCACTGCCACGTTCGTAGTGTGATTTCGCGATCGTTGTGTGACTCCCAATTAGTAGTCTAAGATTCTCGTACGGAAATGTTAATAATATTTTCTACATTGTCAAGAAAAATTAAAATCAAGCATATGAAGTTCGAAACGTTTTATTAAGTAGGTACAATAGAATATTAATTGTTAAAATATAATAATGTCGTGTTACGTATTAAGAGATCTCTTTTTTAAAGTTACGTGAATTATAAGTAATTTGTGACACAAAGTCAAATAACGTTGTTTTATTTTATGATAATTTTCATTTAACTACTTTTAAAACAACCGACTTCAACCTTCTTTTATTTTCAAGTTAGTATTTATGTTAGAACCTACTCCTAATTACAGCAAAATATTCAAAATCCTATTTAAGCGGACGTCTTCATCATATTAGCTCAAATCTTTCATTTCAGTTCAATCAGATCGATAACCTAAAAATATTTATAAAGTCAAAGTCAAAGCATTTATTTCAATTAAACCATAATTTGGTACTTTTGAAACGTCAACAAATACAAAATAAATATTATTATTTTTTTTAAAAAAAAAACGTTGCCCCACACTAGGATTTTTTCCTGTGTCGTGGGTGCGTTTACAAACATACAAGTTTGTAACACTACATTGCAATTAACCTTGGAATAGATTAATTAAAAATTCAAGTTCTGCTAAAATCATTATTATACGCGGACGAAGTCGTGGCGAACAGATAGTAGTGTATAATTGTTTTTAAGGTTTATATTATATATGGTGTGATGACATGTACTTATGGTTACGTATATGCATATACGTACATATGTTGATTAATTAAATTAAAAATAATATATTATTATGTTGCTATTGTCATAAGTACCTAATTTGATTATGTACATATTTATTTATACTAAAGATACATTTATGTAATATATTTTATTATTATTCATTTTAAATCCTGGAAATTGTATTAGGTTTAAAATTTAATGATTATTGAGTATTATTTATAAGCCACGTAACGTAGATAACACTATTTATTAGGTATAACTTCAATATAAAACATATTTATATTATTTGTTATTCAACTTTATTACCTAGGTCATATAAGAAATTTCAAGAGCCCTCAGCGCGCTATGGAACGCGCTATGCCTGGTATTTCTTTATGTGATTGAATCAGAAATAAAGAGATCTTCAAAAAACTAAATTCACCGATATAGCTCAGTGGAATAACAAGTTTAAGTGGCTGTGGACAGACCATACAGCTACACCAACGGCCGCTGGGATAGAAAGGTTCTCGAAAGCAACGTACTGACAATGTGATCACGGTTCAGCACGGACTTATCTTAGGAATTGTTTACTTTTGGTCATTATAGTAGATCAGACTTAACGAGTTGTCATTTAAATATGAATTTTAGATCGTATTTTTTTTTATATTGGGACAAGCCCGCGGCACCCTCCCACAACCGCTGCAACTCCTGTAAGCCAGGATCTACAGTAGATACACCATAAAAACACCGGAACAATGAAGTCCGGCGCATCGGATGACGCGACATGAATAACTTATTTGGTTCCCGCAAAGAAGTGAATCAGAAGATATTATAAGAGAAGAAAAAAACGATAGTTTACTGCAGGAGACTGAATGAATTAAGCCTATAAGCAGAAAAAGAGACTGTACATCTGGGTGAAGCCCAGTCGCCAAGCACCACGAAAATTTGACAAAAATTTAAGTGGGTCCCATGTGTGAGCTGTTGCTACCAATAATAGGTATGGCAAAAGCGCCTAAACGCACGGAAATTTGTTCTAGATTCCACTTTTAAATCGTATGTCGTATGATACATTTCAAAACGTCAATACAAAAAACCGACGGGACGGGTTCTCAGCGCGCGGTCCTCTTGAAGTTGTAGTTAAGGCGCCCGCACATTTATTGCATGCCACCAGCGAGCCGTCACATCGTCACCCGTAGTAACAAAAAGCTTCCACCTGGCGGCCGGCGCACCGTAAGCGCGCTGACGGCTAGCGGTAGACAAATTCGAAACCACGCCGGGCCGGAGCCGTGCCTGTTAGATGTGCGACCTTTACTCATAATGTAAAAGCTGTGAGCGAAGATGTTAATCTTTGAAGTCATCAACACTCCAACATCAACCAAACGAATGATTCTTCTAACGAGTAAAGCTACTTGTTAATCAGGACATCCTTGAAATCAACGTCTTGAATCTTGTTATTACAATTTTTTCGTTTGTATTTTTGCTACAGTAATATGGAATCTTGAAAGTGCATCAGTAATATGAAATAATAAATTCGGAGCTTTAATTTGGAAAATAATGTTGTTTTTGAGGAACTAAGTAGGTACTCTAAGGGCCTGTTTCACAATATCTGGATGACCGTTATCTACCAAACAAATTTGAATTAAGAACGTAGTTTCATGTCACAAAATTTTTCAGGTATAGAGGTGGTGAAACCGGCGCTAAATAAAATTTTTACTTTACTTAAAGTACCGTTACTTACCTACTGTTCTTTCAACGAGAATCCCTATTGAACAATTTATTTGAACTTACCAAAATTTATTTTAGTATACCCAACGCGCACCTAAATACCTCGTATTCACTAGGCAGAACTGCACATGCGCGTGCGATCGTCATACTCCTAAACATGTTGAAATTGGAAATCGTGAAACGAGAAACATCAGAATAAGGCCTTATTGTGGCACATGCCTTACTTGACTCACATACTATATGTATATTGAAACTAGCTGACCCGACAAACTTCGAATCACGTAAATCACAAAATTCTCAACTTTTTAACCTTCCCTGGCCTTCCACTAACATTTCAAGACCAAAATTAAACAAATCGGTTCAGCCGTTCTCGAGTTTAGCGAGACTAACGAACGGAAATTCATTTTTATTTATATGGATAATATTAGCCGCTTTTCCTCGTTTATGTTTAAAATTACTTATAGCATTTACTTACTATATTTGTACGAATACTTATCATTTAGGTACTTAGGTGCTAATTTCAGAAAGTAAAGTCATTATTAATTTGTTCACCGTTGCGAATACTCGTCATTATGTATTACATTTCGTTACTGATATTTCTTCTAATCGTGTTTACTACGAGTGCTGGTACCAATCATGTGACTCCATACAGTTATATCAACAAATGCTGCCCAAATGATTACGTGGTCGGTGTTAATATGACATGCTTCAAAGTGACATACAAAGTTACCTTTTCCGAAAAAGTATATGATAGTAATGTGGCCTACATTGG